TGGGTGTACAGTGTTTATCGGTTGTTGGTTGGGTCTCGTTGACGAGGTAAGAATGCCGCAGGAGTTGGAGGTTGTATGAGTGAGGATTCGTGAGAGGAGGAAAAGGGTGAAAGTCTATTGGAGGGCGAGCGAGGGCGGCGAGGTTGTTGTTTAAGGAGCAGGAGCCAGAGCCAGAGCAAGAGCAGTAGCAGCAGCGACGGAGATTGCTCAGGGGGTGTGGGATATCCAGAGGTAATGAGGGACAGGTCTGGAGTGAGTGTGAAAGAGCGCAAGAAGCAAGCCAGAGAGGATATCCGTCTGTTAATTACAAATTGGGGGAGGAAATTGCAAACGGAGAAGGAAGGAAGAAGAAGAAGAGAGCGAGTACGTCTATCAAGTGGGCAGGGACGTGGGAGAGAGGCAAGAGAAATACGGTCGGTAAGTATGGTCAGGTCAGGCCCCAGCCCAGGTCAGGTCAGTGCAGTATGCGGCCGGGGAAGGGATGAGAAGCAAAAAAAAAAAAGGAGAAGGTGAGTGTGAGTGAGAGTAGTAACAAAACGCCAGGAGGACTGGAGCATGTTAAAGCCAAACAATAATATTAAGACGGTAAGGTATGGGAGGGTAGGAACAGGTCAGGTACAGATACCGGATCAAGGTACGTACATCCTACATCAAGTTGCAGTGTATAGAGCAAGTACCTGAACGTGGGAGACGGACGAGGCAAAGGCGGCGGGCATGGAGAGAGGTACATGCATACAATGTGTGTAGGAGAGAACGCCGTAGCGTCCATGGAAGGAGAAAGGGCCCAGTGAGGTCACTAGTCATCCGTGGACTGGTGGATAGGTACTTTGGACTTGGCTCCCATATCCTGACCCTACATTACTCTACTGCATAGTAGCGTACAGAGGGTGTCGGCACACTAAACCGGACGGTGAAGCGTCTCCCCCCTTTGCCTCTCAGTCTCTCTGAAGGGGTGCCACCAGAAAGGGGGGGGGGGGATGGGCCTCGAAGTATCCGTAAGGTAAGGTGAGTAGTGAGGCAGGGCAAGGTAGGTACTCCGTACATCAGCTTCATTAAGTCTCCATAAGTGACGGACGGTGTCCCCAGATCGGGTACGTACTCTCTCCACCGCCGAGCCAGGAACTAGGACCCAAAGGTCCAAGGGGGAACATGGGCTTGGATGGGTTGGGGGAACTTGGGTGAAATTGCTGGCAATGCATCTTCAATGCAGAGTGCAGACTCGCAGTCTCGCAGAGAGAGAGGGAGAGAGGGAGAGAGAGAGAGAGAGAGAGAGAGAAGTGCAGTGCCAGACTAGACCCTCCACACGTTCCCACGCTCCCACACACACTCCCACACGGCACACGCTACACACCCGGAGCTTCATCTTTTAGCGGCAGCACCCACTGGCCACTGGGCCATCCATCCTCTCGGCCCCCCCTCCCCTCCCATTTTTGGACTGGTCCTGTCACTCACCCACTGTACCCTGCCCTGTATGTCTGACGATGAGAGAGAGAGAGAGAGTGTGTGTGTGTGTGCGCGCGCGTGTGTTTGTGTGTGTGTGTGGAAGAGAGTTCCAATGTGAGCACGAGGTCAGGGCAACATGTAGTCAGGCTTCATAGGAGTTGGGTGGATGGGGGTGTTCGTGGTTGACCATGTCCTGCCGCCTCGTAAGGTAGGAGCAGGAGTACCTCGTAGGAGCACTGATAATGATGAACGGCTTGATGGTGTCGTTGATGATGGTGTTGCCAATGTCCGTCTCGCTGTATAGGAAATGCAGGGCCAGAAGTATCCCTTCCGTACCCATCGCATAGGTGACGCACCGAGTAGCAACTCTTTCGGTACATCTCTCATGTACGTGCCAGGCCGTGTCATGCTTCCTCCCTTCCTTTTGTCCAGCTCTTCCCTCCCATCACATCTCGACCCGGCATCCCTTCCAGTTCCCGTCCGTGGTCTTTTGGCACTTTGCCCTTTTCTCTGTCAGGTACGGTACGCCTCATCGACGCCTCAAGAGCCTTAGAGTCCCTTTACTCCCCCTCCATCTCCAGCCCACTACTCGCTTCTAGCCAGCCTTAGCGCGTCATCGTGGAGAGGTCCCTTTGTGAAGTCGTTTCCCCCGTCTCCGGGGGCCTTGACAAGCCACGGCCACCGCCTATTGCCAACACCACCTAATCCGCCCACCGCCTATTGCCCGACCGCCGGCAGTAACAGCCATCGGCGGCATCGGGAGTGGCAGTCGCAGTGGCCGTCGCAAGCAAGCAGCGGCGTGCAGTAGGACTGTGCCATGAACACCTCCTCATCAAGGAGTTCCTCGGGGTCTCACCGAGTGAGAAACCATACGCACTGCGTACATGCAAGCCGCAGATTCGTCTGCTACGCCACTCCATAGAGCGGGCCACTACGTATGTCAACCTCCGCTCCGGCCGATACGGCTACATTGTCGTTGCCCCAGTAGAGTGGCACCGGAGGCGTAACAACACGGAGATCGGGGTCCAAAGAGAAAGCGTCTTTCCTGTCGGCAGTATCGTGGGTAGCGAATGGAGGCATGAGGAATAGCAGTTGCATTCGCTGGTGCCACTGCTGCTGCGGCGGCAGGCCTTGTCATTTGCTGTTGGCCATTCGTACACGGTAGTGCATCGTCAACCAACCCCGTCAGGTGGACTGAGGGAACTCTGAGTCTGCTGCCACTCATAACTTTGCTACATACCCACCCACCACTAACGGACGGCTGCTCAGACGAGATAACTATCCATGCTGCCATGCTGCCATGCCCATGCCATGCCGTGCCACGCTCATCGCACGCTGGGGCGATTAGCACCAAGGCCATCCCTGCGCCGGGCCGGGGGGTGGACGAACAACTCGTTTGGTACTCGGTCTCTTGAGTCTTGGGTCTTTGGTGGTCCACTCGGGCCTGTCCCTACCGGCTGGAGAGAGTCAAAAGAACCACAACCCATGCGCCTGTCGGTGATCTCGAAGAACGGAACGCAGAATGGATACCTCATGGAACACGCCAACCAGCCTCCCTTCTTTGCCTGTCTTCGCCTGGCCTTGTTGACTTCCCCAGAATAGCTGTTTCGTAAGAGAAAAGGGGAACAAGAGGTGGCGCTGGACGGGCCAGGCCGGTTAAGCGTTGTAAGGACGACCACCATGTCCCCAAACACCAGACTCTTGTCCAAGAAGACGGCGTATCCAGTAATTCGAACGAATATTCCGAACATGCGACCACCAGGCGGCTAGTTGCGAGGGGAGTTGAAAGAACATGGACACACGGCCTTCGCGGGCGCTCCGCCATAAGACGGCAAAGGAGGGAGGGAGGGGCCGCGGCATCATTTCAAGAGACAACCTTGGGCCAGAACTTTTGACTCGACTGGCGAGACAAATGAGCGCGCTATGAGACGAAGCAAATAAAGGCATGGTGAATGAGTCGTCAGGCGTGTGCGGCGAAAAAAAAAAAAAAAAAAAAAAAAAAAAAAGAGCTGTCAAAGGCAGAGCATCCGTAAGAGGTGGCGGCGCGCGGCGGCGGCGAGTCAATGACCTTCGTATTGATCGACCAGCGGCACATTGTTCCAGATCCGGTAGCTGCAGTGTGGACGAAAAGGACAGGCTCAAACTGCAGCAACACGCGAGACTCTGCACCCACACGAGGTCATGGTCGACGTCGGACTGCTCGTGTACCTCGTCTTTCTACCTCATGGTCGCGGTGCAGGCGTTGCGAATAAGTGCAAGAGATGAAGTAAAAAGCCGGCCGGTTGGGGGTGGGGGGTCAAAACACTCGGGATTGTGCGTCCGTTCGCTCGTAGACTTGCGTGGTCTGCCAGGACAGAATTCCGGATGGATCACACGACCATGCAAGGACGGTACGGTAGTAGAGACTATGAAAGCTGGAGGACCGTCACCATCACACATGAGCAGAGCGCCCCCTTTCTGCTCAGGATCCGTCATCCATCCATCCGTTCGAAGTATGTGTCCAAGCGGTGGTAATATAATTCTTGGCGACCTGGGGGGGGAACGTGTCGAACTCGAGGATAGAATGATGAGGATCTGAGGATCACGACTCCAAGAGACTAAGACTAAGACCGAGAGGGAACCAGCAAAAAAAAAAAAAAAAAAAGTAAAGAGAAGAAGATCATCAGTGGTGCGCTAGGCGTGGGGTCCCTACTCCAACCAGGGGCAGGGGACGGGATGCACGAGGGTACGGGCACAGGTACCTCACTGTGTAGGTGACTAAGGCAGGTACTTTAGAGTACGGAGGGGCAGAAGAAACCATCGGAGGAATAAATGTGAAAAATGCCAGAGAAGGAAAAGATTCTGGAAAAAAGAATAATACGGAGACGTAGGAATAAAAAAAGAAAAAGAGCCCAGTGCCAGGGCAAATGGGAACGGCAAGGGCCAGTTGAGACAACCCAGCAATCCGCGCCGTCGGTAATAGCCACTTTGATCCCACTATCCGTACTCCGTACTCCGTACCCGCCCACCGTACCTTACTGGGGAGGAGGTACTGCCTGCCCTCAGTGCGTGGCAGTTGAGGAAGGCAAGGCGGGCGAAACTGTCGGATGTATTCCGGTACATCTGGAGAGTACCGAGGTACTTGGTCGACTTGCAAGGGGAAGGAGGAAGGAAGGGGATTGAGAGCGGGCGGCAGGGGGATCCCTTGCAAGTCCCAGGTCCCAGGAGTCTTGGATTGGATTTCTTAAGAGAGCCAAGTCCATCCCAGGTTCCTGACCCTCGTACCTGGGATTCTGGGAAAAGAGGACCAGCCTCGAAGACGACACGAAAGGAGGAGCCTCGAGGGATCTTCCAGGGTCAGCTTATTACCGGCCTTGCGCTTCCTCGCTACGCCGCACCTGACACCCTGCCTGAATCTCCCAGGTGGGTTCAAGGTGAGAGAAACCGAGAGACTGTGTATTATCCTTACTCCGTATGAGAGAGAGAGAGAGAGAGAGAGAGTGTGTGTGTGTGTGAGAGACAGAGGAGAGGGAAGGCGAGGTGAGGTCAGGTGAGGTCAGGTGAGCTCGGGGGACGCCTCCAGTCATCCAACTAATACCTAGGTATGCAATTTGCTTGTTGTTGAGCTGACACAACCCAAGACACTCGATACTCGACACTCATGACATATCTCACACATGCAAGCTATGCTAGACTCCGACATGTGGAAGAGGCAGCTGGCAACGTGCAATCCATTCTTGAGCGGCAACTATGGGACACTGAGCTGGGCCGTCGTTAGCGTGCGGCGGATCGAACGAGTCCGAGATGACAATTTGACAATTCTATATCACGGTCGCCTCGGACGCTCTGAACATAAAGCAAGTCGCCACCTTCAGATTAGTACGACAAAGGCCTACTTAGTAATCGTTGTCCACGCAGCATGACAGGGCTGACCAACAGATCCTCATCAGAAATTGAAAACCCATAGTAATGACGACAATTACAGGTTCCTGCATGCTCGGCCGAAGCGTTGCATCGCGCTGCTGGGGCTTTGCAGTCGCTATTTTGGATTAATTGGGCCGGCGATTGATCAGGGAGACAGAAACCATCTGTTAGAAACATATCAGTGCCTCCCATGCCACAGTTCCTCCCTTTCCCATGGGCCATGGGCCATGGACTTGGTGGGAGGGCGCCACGGAGCATATGTAAATGGGGGGAACACTGCTCCGCACGGTAGGTACAAAGTGCAGCGTACCTCATGGAGTGAAGATTAATATTCATGGATGAACAGTTCAAAAGTGCGTTACCATTTCATATTTCATCCACAGGGCTTGACCAGGCAAGGCCGGTGCCATCTCAAGACAATCACGACTCACGACTCAAAGCTCACCAGCCTTGTCCCTGGAAACGGGAATAGACCGCGGGCCCATAAACCAGCATCTCAGACTCGCGTACGGAGTACAGAGTGCTCATCCGTATTAGTTACCAATTCACCCTACTGTTTGAGCCTACCAATCCAGACCGGCAGGTCTAGACTCACTTGAACCTCTCCATTCCTCTTTTCTCGTCCCTGCATCACATCTGCGTCAAACCAAGTCTTTGATGAAAGCCGCCCGTCCGCCGCTGGACTCACTCGCGCATGATCCGTCCCTTTACCCCCCGCGTGCCTCGCCATGGACCCTGCGGCCGGCCTTCATACCTGCACTCTGATCTCGGAGCCGGAACACCTTTAGGATAAGTATTGGCTTCGACTCCTATCCAAGGGCCTCGAGCTATCAGTCTCAGACAAGGCTAGGTTTAGACTCTACACTTCGGTCGGTCGCGTCCCCCGCCATCGGTGACGATGGCCGTCACCGGGGAACATAATACGTACCTCGGCTGTCTTTAGCTCTGTCCTGCCTTACCTCACCAGCCAGCGGCGCACGCCACCTACCATGGGATGCAGTAAGGTTGTGAACGAAGGCGGGAGAGCACTAAGCAGGAAGGTAACGGTACCTGAGAGTGCAAGTACCTTCCAGCTCCAAGGTACGGATACCTGCGTTACGATGAAATTTGCCTACGCCAGGCGTTTGTGTGGCTGCAACGGCGCTGGACGGATACGGAATGCGCTCCGTCTACTGCTCCCGTTCCACTCATTCGTCCCAGATCTTGCCTCTACCTTATTACGGAGGACGTCAACCATGCTACTGCACTAGGGAATACGGATATCCATCTCTGCTTGCACAACAAAGAAATTCGACATCGCGGAATGTTCAAACTCTGTTCCGCCTCCACTTGCCATCATCAACCCGGCTCCTTAGTTTTAAACCTCGGAGCTAGCCTCAATTCTCACCTCATCGTCCATACAATGTTCCTTTCAGCTATCCTTCGCAGCTAATAAAGCAGGCAAGCTAAGCTAGAGCAGGACGCCGGACCCCAAACTGACCCCTGCCGGACACACCCCTGACTCCGTGGCAAGGACACACGGTACGGAATATGAAGTACGAAGTATGCGTACGAATACCTCCGGATACACAACTCATCGATGATCAAACCATCAATCCCGAGCCGCATATTCCAAGAGCCACGAGGCAAGACTCGCCTCGCAGGAAGCATGAGGCAACCGAGCAGCGAAGTGGCCGTTTCCCCCCTCCCAAGTTCCCGCTGGCATTGAGATTGGATCCATCTAGTTGCGATCCACGATCCACCGGCCTCGTCCACTCCAGATGCAACCAGCCACCAACAAAGCCGTCCTGCTGATCGTCCTCGCAATCATTTCGTCTCCTCGCTTCGGAGCTGTCGCCGTCTTCTCCTCCATGCATGTGGCTACGAATACACAATTACCACCCGACTGGAGATGCCTTTCGATGATCGATCCCCACGCATACGAGGCTCACACAGATTTGACCACATTACTGCTCAAACAAACAACGTCCTATTGCATTCATCCGACGGTGCCGCTGCAGATGTATGCGATGTCAAAATCGGTTACAACACCCGCAGGCTCCCTCGACTAAGCCAACCATCGGCTTGACGTTGGGTTCGGTGATAAGCAGCCACTCTAGTCGAAGCAGACACAAACTTGATGATGTACTCATACCAACCGGCCATTACGCTTCCATACTCCTCTTGATTAATTTCTCTTTTGCGTTCTTCTCCCACGATATCGGAGACAGAAATATGCACCAACAGCCTTATACGACCCTTTCGCCCCCCTTTTTCTACTCACCTTGTCGCCAACGCCCAAGACTATGGGTATGAATCGCCCACCAACCGGTGTTGGATCTGCATCGAGGCGCCTGACCCGTGGGGTGTGGGTGCTAATTAACCCGTCCTTGGGTGCAAGCGGCCGAGATATCGGAGCCACTGGGAAAGTGGCCGACGGCGAGGCGAACGCCTCGCTGTCCGCCGTCGTCTGATACTGCTTAACTGCTAGGGCTTTGGTCTAGACGGTGCCCCGGGAATACGTGCAACTGTCCCTTTCAGTCCCGGGGTGCCCGTCACTTTGGTCCAAACGCCAACGGCGCACGGGATGCGATAGTTTGGATAATTTCAGAGTCTCGAGACGCCGGCAACTGCCCGATACTCAGACCTGCACGCTTCATGTCCGCGACGGCATTGCTCCATGCGTGAGTAATGGTGCTCGCTCGCCCCTGGTCCTCTTTGTCGCCCGTTCTCCGACCCCAAGGTGGCTCTGGCTTCTCGGCCCTCGCAAAGCGTCTTCCAAGCTCCGGGGGAGAACAGGACGAACGGCGGCCGGCATAGAATCAGACAGTCACCAAGTGGACGATGACGACAGTCGAGTGTCCCGTATCAAGCTCACCTCTGCGGATCGCAGGGACTTACTTTGACTTCCAAGTTCCTGTTCCATGCATGCAGTTGGATTAATGGCCGGGGCGTCGATGAACTGAGATCATATCATGTTCTCACAACCAACCGTCCACGGTACGAATACCCGGTTCAGAATCAGCTCTGCATCTAAAATTGCCGCCAGCTGACTCTTGAGTCTTGCCTGAGCCACCACCGCCCATCCTCCACCAGGTACGAGTCAATCAACTTCTGACGTCGACACTCGACAATCTCCTTTTTCTAACAATGGCCGTGTGCGTGCGGAGCTACGCGTCAACCTCGACGCCTCGGCCATGGCGAGCCCTCCATCCCCTCTGCCTCGTCTTGCCATGTGGTCGATGGAGCCCTTCAAGGGTCTGCAGACCGGGAACCGCGGCTGCCCGTGGGCGAGGGTCACCCTCGCACGACTTCTGCTGAGAATGAGGCTGCACAGCTCACACCACTCGATCCATGGCCACCCTTTAGTTTCAGCGGTCCGGCTTTGCAGTTTATGATCAGGACTTGACCATCGGCAACCAGGTTTGAACTGCATCACCACGACCTACCTACCACAACGCTACTAATCATCGGAGAGTGCGCCCGCGGAGTAATCTGCGTGAGCACCGGCCTACAGGATCGTCCCCTTACTATTCGTACCTTGATGTTCTCAGACTTTCAATCAAACACGATGTCTAGTCGACCGTTAGGTCCCGAGTAAAGACTAGGAAGACACAGTGGAGCGGCTAACAGCATGACTTTCCTCCACCTGACTTCGTTTGCCACCACACACCGAGATTGGAAAATAATACTCTAGGTTCAAGCAGGCCTGGCCACATTGTACGGAGTAGCAACCCGGCCCAAAGCTTGAGAGTCCATTTATACATACCCTCACCACTTTAACCCAGAAAGCTGCCCGAGGCGCCAACCAAAATCCTTGGCAGATCCCATCGGTCCCAACTACGCCATCCGCACATCATTTTCGGTTTGCTCGTTTGATGCATACGGGATGTCCAAGGCTTTTCTACCGCGGACAAATTTCATCGCGGCCGCTGCTCAGGAGGGTTGGGTAGGTAGCTCAAACTTGCCGTTTGCTTGCATTCCAATACGCCGTGGCACAGCTTTTTGCTGCCGGCTCGTTTCGACCTGCCTACAAGAGTACGACTAGCATTACATTCTCGCAACCCCTCATGCAACCCAGTTGCGAGCTTGTTGTGCGTCTTGTGCGACAATCATGCCGCCCTTTGACCATGATGCCACCCGACGCGGCAGTCCTGCTCCATAGCTCTTTCATACCAAGGTTTTCGACAAACTCCCGCCGCGGGCCATCGTCTGGACGCGGCCTTATTGACAATATAAAGGATGTTACGGGCCCATGACTCGGCCCGCTTCCAACGAGCACCAGGCATGCCCCGACCACTGCGTTCCCCTCTGCCTTGCGGAAACATCTACATTGTATTCGTACGGCGCTTTCAGACGACCGGCGACACCCATTTTGACTTCCGTGTTCAATCCTTTTGGTGGGCGTGATGATGCAGCGACGATATCACGGCCATGCTGCAACCCGCTAGCTTTTGCAGCTTGCAGCTTGCAGCGAGCCTCTGAATGGGTTTCCGCACATTGTTTTCGCTCGCAACGCAAAGAAACGCAAGGCGACGCAAAGCAACGCAAACTAAACCGCCTACCTAGTCCGCTTTATTGGTCCCAGTTCCGATGCCGGCCCAGAATGGAATTTTGGGAGTCAACGGTGAGGCTAGCAACGCAGCAAAGCTGTGGCAAACGCTGATTGATGACAACTCACCTTGACCACACCGTCCCAAAACCTTCGGATTGATCGTCCTTGATCTGTCGTTGGACCACGTTTAGGAATCGTGCGCGCCCAGAAGACGCACTGCGTCGGCAACTCAGGCTTGTTTGAGCCCTCTACAACCACATAGCCGTGACAAGTCAGACGCACACAAGCACACCCACACCACACATAGCTCGTACACATTGCTGACTCTGTCGCCATGCCTCTTGTCGCATCCTGGGCCGAAGAGAAGGGCCTTTGCTGGTCAACGTCCGGACCGTGCCCCTGGCCTTTCCCGAAGCGCGCCTGTCTTCCGTGCCCAGTCGATGTCTCGTCTCTCCTCATCGACGGCCCTGCCCTGCTTCACCCACTCTCTCAAAGCACCAACCTTCTAGCATCAACCGTTTCAAATCACATCACAGCGGGACCTAGGCCGAATGGTGGTTCCTCCTCTTTTACCCGTCTTTTCCGTGGCTTCTAGAAGGCTCAACCCCCCCTGACGAAGAAGCCTCTCAGACTTCCATACGCCGTTCTCGAGCCAGCATCGGTGACTCCGCCTCTGTGGGTGTAATGTGCATGGGTCGTCCGTCTCCATATTTTGTTATTGAGTTGCATCCGCTTCAGCTTCAGCTGTTTCCTTCGAAGCCCTACGAATACGTGTGCCAAAGCGACACAAAGATCCGGTGGATTTCGTCTTGGCCTGCTGCAATTCGGCTCGCTGAACCCACAATGCACGTGAGATTAGGGACCCCAAAGACTCTGCCATGACCACAATTCTTCAGCAGTCTCGCTCGCTTGCCGACATTTGGTTTCAACAGGGTAGTGTAAGTCTGGAACCACAGGTCTGGACTAGAAAGAATGTGTGCCCTCCTGCGATGCCGGGAGTTCAGGGCGGTGAAGTCTTCGCGCTCTAGCCGCACCGCTCAATCCACGTCTCATACGGACACACGAGGTTATGTATGAGGGTGTTGTTCCTGTTGTTACGGATATTGTTCCCCTAATACGACCAGACTGCATGACAACTTCGCCTACCATGATCGCCGCTAATATTTGGCATCAAGTTTCCCACTTACCGCCCCTCGACGTGGAGCAAGTATCCAGCGGCCACGCGCAGGTTGCCACCACGCATCGCGACTCCCACTCCTCCTAATGAAGGCCTGACAGAGAAACAAGTCTTACTCTTGCACCAAGTCAGCGCTGCCAGCCACTTGCCTTTG